CAATTGTTCTTACCAGTACTGCATTTACATTATAAATATGTTTAAAAGTAGGATACTGTTCAGAGTGCACAATGTAACCAACTCCTGAGGTATTAACATTTCGAAGAAGAAGAAGATTGAAATACACTAATACATTACACAAGAATCTCATCAATTTCAGGCCATGTTTATGGAGATTACACTCCATTTTTCTGAAAAGACAGGATATTTTGTTCTTTTCAGAGGACACCCTATTATCTATATAAGTGCAGCCTTTGTGATTTGAGAACCCACTCCAATTGTAATTTCCATTCTATTGTGATATATTAGGATTGACTTGATTTATATAGTAAGATTTCTGCTCCCTTGTTACGTCTATACCAACTCTTATTGACTGATGATAAGGATGAAAACATCAAACTGTTCCTTTGGAGTGTGTCACCAGTGCTGTACTTTTATGAGAGCTCCTGGCACATAGATGAGATGTAAAAATAGCTGTCCTGTTTGGTGAGTGCCAGTTTGAACTTTGCTTTGGACTATCTGTCCTTGGACTAATGATACGCTTTTATGACGGTAGACTTTTTTATTCTGTGTTGATCAAAACAAGACGGTTTCATCGTGATCATAATCTGCCATAATGATTTTACGGTGCAGTGACAGTATCGACACCAATTCTGCAACAGCCTCCTACAGCTCTGCTCAAACACAAGAACACATTTGTACCATAGTCCATACAGCTGTCAATCATCAATATTGTCTTTGCACTGTTTCTCCTTATGACCTCTTGTATATAGCTAAGATATTTATTTTATATATTATTTTTACTTGTCAGATAGTTATATAATTATGCCTTATTTGACACCAGTCTCTTGATATTTTTGCTACTTATTTAGAATTTATTAGAGGTGTAACGATATCCAAGGCTCACGTTACGAAATTGTATGAACCTCACAGTACGATATTTACTGCAATATCATGGCAAAGCTCACGATATGGTGGGGAGACTCACGATTAGGGATGTAACAATATCCAAATCTCTCTGTGTGATATTTTCATGATAAACATCTCACGGTACGATATTTATTGCGATATTTTGTGGAGACCAACAAAACTGTTATTACGCTACTTTTTCCTTTTAAAATGCCTTGACAAGACTTAATCCAAAGAACTAAGACTTAAAAGTGCTTAGAACTGTTATTTCTTCATGTCGTCTACACTAAAATGGAGCAAAGGATCATGGTCTATGTAGTTCCCATCGTTTTTAGCCATTGCTGCACCATAACTCTTAATTTAAGCAAAGAGACTTGTAATTCAATATACTGTGATGGTCCATGATATTATTGTGAGAACTTTGACAATACGATATCACGATATTTCGGTTATTGTTACATCCCTAGAATTAGCATTTTTATTTTTGCTCTTTGTTATTCTAATATCATATGATGTGTGAGCTACTGTCTCCAAGTAATTTCCCTTGTGGATCAATAAAGGTAGTCAAAGTTTAAGTCTTCTAACATAAGCATATACGACCTGTAGTCTGCCATTATCCCGCAGCAGCTTTGCACATTCTTGCTAAATGAAGGGAATTATGGGTTGTAAACTTCTGTAACCTTTTTGTTTTGACAGTGGCGGGGACTAATGGCATCAGACGTGCGCTGTAGGGTGTGCGTTTTGTGCAGGTCTGCTCGCCCAGAGGGTATTTTGTGTCTCAGGTTCCCACTTACGATCGGTGTTAATGTTTGTTTCTATTCTGTTCTTCTATTGTTGTAATTGTGTCATATTTTTAGACCTGATTATACCATCGCAGCTGCGTACTTGAAGGCTTGTGAAGAAGGAAGGTTCTGCATGGACATATTTGCGTGTTATTTTAAAAAGTGGTATTGACATTTGGGGTGGATGATATTGACAAAAATCCATATGGAAAATCACGGTAACGATATAAGACAATAATAAGTCAAATGCTGAAAAAAACGTATTGTGCTTGCGTCTCCTATATATTTATCATCTATGATGCCCATGGATCATTTTGTTATATTTTAGGCATTCTAAATTGCAATATTCATCTAAAATGACTTAATAAAAGAAACAAGTCAGCCGACTTTCTGTGGTACCCAGTGCCGTAAAGGTCAGTACAACAAAGAACCGTGTAACTCCTATGGTTAGCGGCAGATCACACTGAGTAGCAGATTGTTTTTCATGTATACCATTGGGTCGAATCCTACGGCTAAATAATGCAAAAATAAAATAGGAGAACGAAGTGAGTATAGAACAGTGGCCAGATATAAAAAAAGAGTTGATTGGCAAAATGATGTCTTGAAAATAAGTAAACTTGCACGAGTTCCTCTAAACACAACTATAACATGGCTAAAAACTCTGAGAAAGCAAAGAGAAAAATATGTACTGTAAAATTATCAACAAAAATGTAGTATACCCTTATTTGGAAAACTTTAATCAACTCTTTGTGCACAGTTTTTATAAAGTGACTCAATATATTTTGCATTCACAATATTACTGCGATTTAGATAATTTCCCCTCCTCTTGCTGTCTCTTTCTTCTGTGCCTTTTTTATTGTACTTTGAAAATTATATTCATTCGTTTTCAATTAAAAACGGACAAAACAACTCCAGAGTGAGTTACAAAAGTTTATGAACAACACCAAAACTATCTGAATACACATGATTGAGCCAGATGGATGACTACAGCATCTAAAATCCAGGATAGGCTCTTTGTTCCTGCCAAATTTTGACCGTAAGTTTCGCAAGAGAAAAAGTGAGTCACCAGACTAGTAAACGTTGTATTGATCAGGTTTGGTAACATAGCGTAAAATGTAGCTACAGTTTCCTGCTGAGAAGACGGCAGTGAACAATCGAGGCTCGTTGTCAGCTCACAGCCAGAAGAAGGTCCTGAAATCGATTTCATGTTACAATAAAAGTGTTGAGTTTATGTGTTGTGCTTATGTTTTTAAGTTTAGATACAAGATTTGAAACACAACCATGAGCTTTAATTTAAAATATTAACTTCTAATTAAGAGTTTTACATGAGCCAACGGAGACAGTGATCATTTCAGCCAGTGATTCACCACACTGCAATTTAATAATATGCCTGTCAATAAGAAAATACCATATTAGATCTGCAAGATAGCAATCAGATCAAAATTGGAATTTTAATGGGCACAATTAGCAAATCACAAAATATGCAATTTTTTAAGTACCCCACTATTTCCTGCTTAAACGACGAAATATCCTGTTTTATTCTACATAAAAATTGCTAATCCTGTAGTTAAAATCTGTACAAACATTTTCTGAAATGTGATTCTTGTCAGCTCATATTTCAGTCTTTTTTGTCAGTTCTTCTGGACAAGTTCAAAACGTGAGCTTTGAGCAGAACTATTGTTACATAATTGCAAATCTAATCCCAATCCCAGTGCTTGCCAGAAAAAATTGCAATTAGGTATTTTTCCTAAATTGTATAGCCCTTAAATATGCACCAGTCCACCTTTTTCAATTCCAATAAACACGGTTATCTTATTACACCAGAGATCCAAATGTGTTATGCAACTTCATAACTTCAGAAGAACTTAATATTAATAAAAGTAAAAAAAAATATGAAACGTTCTAGGCCAAAATCAACCTGCAAATGATCTTATTACACCCAATTATAGAACCAGTATTGGTATTGTTGCATTTCTAAGTTAGCCCTACCATTTGAAGCAATAATCAGACACAGAATTAGCTTTTTCAACCCTCTGCATGTCATATTTTAGTTGGAAACGTGGAAGTGTTGGAAACCTCTTGAAGCCAATGGAACACTGGATGAGGCTTTGGTGATGTTATCCATTCATCTATTGTCTTCTGCAGAACATTGGATTTTCTGTGCCCATTTTTTCTTTCTTTAGATCACCCCCAACCATGGAATTGGTTCAGTTTAGTGAGTTACAGCATTTATGCCTGTTGCAAAGCTCTGTCACGATAGCAAAATTGAAAGTACGATATATTTCTGAAGTAAATATAGATGATAAACAATAATACTGAAACTACTTTATGCCACTTGCAATAATACAAGAGCAGATTTAAACCACACAATTCCAAATCTACAATATTGTTAAAAACATCAGCATTTCCTGAAACAGTATAGCATTTAATTTAACTATTTCCACGATGACAAGCAGGTCACAACATCAACCCAAGTTACAAGAAGTAGAGAAGTGGACCTGTTTAGGATAATCATGCATTTTGCGGCAGTTTTCAGAAATATCCCGGACATCCCAGGCAAATCAATAACATCACCATGGAGACAAGCAGATAGCAGACCCTCCAACAGAAAAGTTACACAGTGCACCTTTAAATTAGCCTGATTCATCAGCTGGTTTCACTTCGTAGAAACCGTCTGACCTCGCAGCGTTAGAATTTGTTCGCTTAACAGTGGGCAGGTACTTTTTTTATTTAATAAATTGCTGCTATTTGGTCATGACTTATGCAATGCGCTGCTAACGGGGCAAAATGGTATATTAAGCTTTTCCCAAATCCTTAAGGAAGAAGGGCAATAACGTCTTTCAACTTGATAAAAGTCACCAAACATTGTCTTTGTTCCGGCTTTAAATCTCAAAATGTATGACTCTTCGCTGATTGGCTGGTGTGAACTCGCACTTCCTGGGTTTTTGCGAACCATCTAGTGTATTCCGATTCCTGAGGGAAATAAAATTGAGTGGAAGCACTAGGTGGCGCCAGCCTGGATACCTTTTAAATCTTATCATACAGCCAAAAAATAACCAAAAATCTCCCAGTAGTGCAAAGAAAATGTACACATGATTAATATGAAGCCCCAACAAATTTTCTTCCAGTTTTTATATATTGAACGATAAATCGATATTGTAATTATCGTGCCAGGCTCACTGTTGCCGTGGACGTGCCGGTTGCCAACTGTGCATTCTGTCAGACCTGTCCCAGATGCTGCTCCGGTGGAGTTTACCCAGTTGACCCCAATTATCAGGTTAAACATTAGCCTGTACGTGGTAGAGTGCTGGCTGTGGACTCTGGCTGTAGTACTCTGCAGTGACTCATGCATGGTGGAGAAGAATACCCAACGGTAGGAAGCTGTCGTAGTGGGAGTGAAGGTGTGAAGCCATTGTGAACAGCGCTGGGAGTATCAAAGAATAGAGGAGAGGAAGGAAGAGCTGTGATTAGCTGCACTGGAGAGGATTTCTGTTTAATTTGTCCACGGTGGAGAGCTTTCACTAGCCCAGAGCCCGGAATGGAGCGCAAGGTTAGTCAGTTCTATTTTCTGTTTTGTTCCATGGATGTGATCGGTGAGTTATTTTGATGTTGTGATGCAAGTACTTTTCATAATCTAGTTATAAAGATAAGAGATGCAGCCCTCGTAAAATACTCAAAAGCTGAGGCTAAAATTGTAATAACCGTTGCCTTGTGATTTAAAAAAATGTTTGGAATGTTAACAAAAAGGGAATTCCAAAGTCATTGCCATCTCATGTTACTATTTTTCCTCAGCTCATCACATCCATTTAAAATATATGGTTATCCTAATATTAGCTGTAACATTATCACTGTATAATATGATACTGTGGATTGAGCTAGAAAGATTTATACAAATGACAGCTTTTGCCAAGATTATGGGTTGGCTCCAAGTTACTGGGGAACATTAGACAGTGAGGTATTGTGTAAGTGTCATTTGCATAATTTTACCCCTGAACATAATATTAAAGTTGTAGTTATCATTTTATTATTTAGTGAATATTTCAGATATTGAGTTTGTTGCATTTTATGTTGAAGAACCAAGCTGCTTACTACACGTTCTGTCTGTTCCAAACCTTGTTACATAAAGTGGTTGGCAACCAAGGAAGCAGCCTGTACATGCAATTTTTTTTTTAAATTTTGTAGCAAATGAAATTGAAATTGTTGTCGACTCTCTTTCAAGGCGATGTCAGAAAGTTTTTTTGAACATGTGTTTGAACGATACCACTGTGTTTTTGCCCTGAAAGTGACCTGGCTAATTGTTCTCAGTAACTCAAAACATAAATAATTTCTCTTTTCTAATACAGCATGGTTAATTTACTAAATGTGTAATTGTTGTCATAAATGTGCTCATCCAATAAAGATATTATACAGCTGTTTTGTTTATAATAACATATTAATGAAACTGTTCTCTTGAGAAAGTATGACTCACCAGCTTGATTAGACCTAAATGGAAATTGACATGCAATTCACTGAAGCAGGTTTAGCTACAGTGGCATCAACAACAATTATCTGTTATTGAGAAATATAACTTGTAAAATCAAATATAAACCAATACAGTCTACTTCAAGTATGCTGTCTGGTTGTATTCTGAACTGTATTCTGAAGAGCTTTCTACAGATCCTTGGTCGCTGAAGTATTCTAGAGTTACACAATGCCATGTTTGCTCAGCGTAGCTTTCATTTAATGATTTATTTTAAGGCTTGTTTATCAGGAACTTCAAGTGACATCTTGTTTTTGATGCTCATACATAAGGATCTGTGTACTTACATTGCACTGATTCACTGATTCTTCCCGTGCACCCAACCAAACAGTACAACTGTGATGGTGTTTATTTAACAGTCGTATAAACTTATCATCGGAACATCAAGAGTATGCCAGATTCAGAAAATACTGGCACATACAAGTGACAATTTTGCAGATTTATAGAAAGCAGATTGTCGTTCTTCAAAGAGAAACCAGTCATCTAAGCCAAACTTTCTCATCTCATTTCTCTTCAAGAGCCACATATCAAAACACACAAAGCAGAGAGCAGATCGATCAAAATGAGCCAGCAGACTTTTGTACTTAGATTCTCAAAATGGCATACAAACTATTTGATATTGGCCTCATCAAGGTAGATTTGAAAATTAAATAAAATGCTGTAGAAAGTACAACTTAAGGTAATATGGGCCAGTTCAAATGATTACTAGTCAAGAATTGCCTGAAATATGATAACCCTTTGAAGCTATTTTTAAAAGTCCAGATCTACTGCATATTATCTAGGGATGCACAGATTCAGCTTTTTCAGTTTCAATACCGATGTCGATACTATGGCTTTAATTATCTGCCGATATCCGATATTAACCGATACCAATGTAGGGTAATAAAATGCCATTTCTTTTTCTCAAAACACAGCTAACTTATTACAGAAGTGGAATTGTTATTTATCCAGCAAGTAACAACTAAACTGTCTTGTATAAATAAAAGTTCAAATGTTATGAGACTTTCCAGGCCAAAATCAGCCAGTAAATAGTCACATTACATCCAGTTAAAAGCCCAACCAAACCAATATCACAGAACCAATACCCGATCCTGCAAATTTTCGTGGATCCCCTCCAATATTCTGTACCATTATCACTATCTGTGCGTCCCTAATATTTTCACATAAAAGTAGAATGTGAAAATGACCATGCTTGCCCACTTATGTTTCACATTTCTTGTTTGCAACACCTAGTCTGCCCCATTGAAATAATCATCGATCGCTTCTGATTGAGCCGCATGTATTGACTCTTTCTTATGTGCTGATGACTGTCTCAGTAACAAATCATTACAATCACTGAAGACCAACTGAGATTGCAACAGATCGTAATCATTTATGTTTTAGTAGAGATAATGTTCATCTTTGGATAAGAGTGTAAAAAGTGAGTTGTTTGTTCCGTCTTGAGATCTGCCGAGGCCTCTTGATGTAATAATAGAGCGAATTTGGCACTTGGTTTAACACATGGATTCCTAATTAGTTGACATTAAGGGGAGGGATGGCGTGAATCCAACAATGGCAAGGTTAACCTGATCAAAGCACAGAGAAGCAAGATCAGTTGTGAGAGCTTAACCTTGGGCTGCTCTGGAAGTCCACGCTTGTTCATTGAACCATCCCATACACTATAGCTGCTATTGGTAAATAGAATGTGCTGTGTTGTATCTGTAAAAAAAAGATTGTTGGTTTCAGTTCCTGTTCATGTCAGTGGGACTTTTTGGGTTATAACCAGGTCATAATGTTCCCTTGGGTTTTAACCAGGTCATAATGTTTTGTTTCTTAATTCACAAAGGCGCAAAGTAACCTGTGCAGTTGGTTGTCTTGTCCTGAATGCCCTCAAATCACGCTGTTCCAGTTTTCCCTGATTAACTTGTAACCAAACAAAACATCGTAGCTTCCTGTACAAATCATAAACCGTCATTGGACTTGAGATCGCGGATACAAGCGCTCGAAATTAGTTTCCTTCCCAGGGTGGCTGGGTGCTCCCTTAGAGATAGGGTGAGGAGCTCAGTCACACGGGAGGAGCTCGGAGTAGAGCCGGTGCTCCTCCACATCGAGAGGAGCCAGCTGAGGTGGCTCGGGCATCTGTTCCGGATGCCTCCTGGGCGCCTCCCTCGGGAGGTGTTCCGGGCATGTCCAGGACACGATGGAGGGACTATGTCTCTCTGCTGGCCTGGGAACGCCCCGGGGTTCCCCCGAAGGAGCTGGAGGACGTGTCTGGGGTGAAGGAAGTCTGGGAGTTCCTGCTTAGACTGCTGCCCCAGCGACCCGGCCCCTGATAAGCGGAAGAAAATGGATGGATGGATCATTGGACTTGCTCAAAGCATTTCTGTGCTCAACTCAACATGCTGGTTGGTGCTAAATGTCTACTTTTGAATTGTCTTTCATGGTTCAGTTCCAGTTCTGCCAGCAGAGGGCACACTAACACCTTATCAGAAACCGAATTTCCACAAAAAATGGGAACAGTCAATATTTTCCAAACAACAGTATGCAATTACCAAAGCTTGTAATACACACACAAAATGTTTAAAGACAGCAATGAAAACAATGCAATCATTTCATGCTTCCTTTTTTATTGTTCCTGTTATCTTTGTTTGTTGTCATCACACTTGCTCTCAAGATGATGGTAAATGTTTCTAACAGCTTCCAGGATCAGGGCTGGTCACATGACTCCCTCAGGCACTTGTAAACGGAGAGGAAAATCTCAGACATGAAAACAGTTCAGTACCCTGCTGCTGCTGCTGCTCCTAAACGACAACTGGACTTTCCACATTTCCTCTTCTTTATTCCAGCTGCTCGTGCTTCCCTGCATTCTCTCGTACCGTCTTTTCTCTCCGTCCATTCCTCACTTCCTGCTCGAACTTTTTTCCTTCATTCCTTTCTTTACAAGTCTGCCTTTGTATGTCTGTCCATCTGTCCGTCTTTCCCTTTGGCTCCGCCCCTCACTCTCCGCTCGTTTTCATCCTTCGTCTCAAAAACAAGGTCTAAAGTTCAGAGACGGTACTTGTGAATTGGGAATGTTGCGCTCTGCCAAGCCCTGGTCACCACACGTTTCAATATTACATCATAAGGAAGGAATCTTAAATCAGGTTGTTCTGATTTTGAAGAAAAGTCAAAAGACAAAAGTAACACATTTTGAGTTTTGTTTTGCAGTAAATGAAGTGCCTCAAATGTTTTCTTTTACAGTTCATTAGTAGATCTAGTATTCTAGTATATATCTGTAGAACAACCTTTATTACTCCAGGGTTTATTTTTACTAATTCCAAAATATGGGCTTTTACAAATTTTTATTATATTTTTTCCAGTTTATCAGTTAATTATATTTGTGGTATATGTTTAAAAAGTATGATTCTTTCAAAATTCACAAGAAACAAATCCAAGAAAACAGGATCTTTTCTTATTTGCAGAGGAAATTGTGATTTTGATTCGACAGCAACATATGGTGCGGCCCCACAAAAAACAATATATTTTTTCTGTTGACGCTGCCCATTTATTTTGCTCTCGCCCCTACATCCTTTAGTGTTTACCACTTGTGTTGCCATGCGGTATCCTTCCATTACCATAGTATCCCGTTGCACAGCTGGCCCGTTTCCACGACTCCATGTGTGAATTATACATACATACGAGTGCATTTCCACCTGCAACATTCAGGGGGAAAGTGAGCAGAGTGAACACCTGCTGCTGCTTGGACCTCCTCTGCCTCCCCTTTGGCCTGTCATTAGTGTGTCTGTTTGGACTGTTTAGTACATGCACGAGGCACACGTATACTGTTACACATGAGTTATGGGCCCTGAGGTAAATAGGAAAATAGCTTGAGCTTGTGTTTAGGGGTGGGTGATATGTCAAAAAATGTGTTCCATCATTTTCTTGGGGCCAGACCGTAATTTTGTTTTTATTGCTATGTTAAAGTTGCAGTTTTAAAACACGAAAGAAAAAATAAATAAATAACCTAACCTTATGCATTCAGAGCATCCTAATTATTCACTTCACATAGTTTA